CAGTCAGTCTGTGTCATTAAGTACAAACGAATCAGTGCTGAGAAAAGTCAAAGCTCCATTTTATTAATCTTAAATTTAGTTTTTATTTTTAGACACCTAATTTGCTTTCCCATTGGATACCTTAGACAAAGGCAGAGTCAACTGCTGATGTCTTGGTTTTCCCCACTGAGAGTGTAATTGGACACTCTCTTTAGCGGCAGCACAACTGTTCTCCTAGGTATGAAAAGCAATGAAGACTTCTAGATTAAAAAGAAAATTTTTAATATATTTGTGATTAACTGGAAACTATAATAAGAAGTCACAGGGAAATAGAAATAAACAGGAAAGGTTAACAAGGTAGGACACAGAGATGATTATTGACACTGAAGGGAGAAAGGCAAAACAGCACCTAAGCTTTGCATCTGATATCAACCTGTTTGATAAATAAGTAATGGGAAAAAGAATCTTCGCCCTCAGATTTACACATTTTGTACTCTTCTAGCTATGACCTTTGTACATGGCCACAAATCTGTTGCTAAAGAGCAAGCCTATGAATTATGTAAAACAAGAGCTGGTTCAAAGGATTTATGTTAGCAATAAGTAGCTTCACTCTGCCCCTGGTGAGAAGAGAGAGATCTCTTCCCACTGTCTTTTTCCCCAGAGTTTTGAGGATATATATGTTTATTTTCTCCACAATTTTTTTTACTCATTTATTACCCAAAAGATTAATCCAGAAGGAAGTTATTTTTGCCTAAAGGAGAACAGAGCTAATGGTCAGAATAATGATTATTATTGTTGATATCTAGCATGGTTAATACAAGACAAACTTTAGGACTTTACCTTTGAAGGAAAAATGGGATAAATGAGAGTCTAGAACAATGACATGTTGACTCACTTCCAAAGATACCTGTCAGGGAAGTGAAAGGAAAGCTGACAAACCCTGGGAGGCGTCATTCTTGATCAGACTTTTGAGATCATAAAATAGATACAAAAATGACAAACAGTTGATTAGAACTATGAAATCTGAGCAATGCGTGCAGACTGATTTCTTCAAGCTGATTTCAGTTATGTTTAAAAAAGAAAATATGACCTAGGCTAACTTGGTAAAGGGGAGTAAAAGATACAGAAAATTTAAAAAGTGGTACAATAAAATAGATATTACTCCTGCAAAATACAAAGTCTCAAAGAAACCCTATTTTTTGAGGGGTGTAAATATGTAAAATGTATCCTGTTAAATGGGCCCTCTCCGCCCTTAAGTATAGCAGTACTGATATATTTCAGTATTCAGCTGGTCATAAGCTAAATTTTATAAACATTGTCTTAAACCAACATTTAAAAACCCTGGCAAATACAGATCATAGATTCAGTCAGAAAGAACTGAAATAAACATTTCAATGTTAATTAGACAGAGCTAGAAATCACACCCAGGTTCAAGGTACTTAGAATCAACATGCCTCACTATCTTTTGCCTTGTCCTCCAGGATAGCTTACTTTCACAGCATGGTCCCAAGGATGTGACTTTCTATTATGCAGTCATCTACGCTGTTATAGGAAGAACGATTTTTAGGGTTCCAGGACAGCTTAATCTCAACATTATTGAAATTTTTTTGATTCTTTGTTACAAGGTAGTAACCATTTCCTCTTTTTCTTTAGGTTCCTTGTCTGAGATCTTTGTTGTCTGTACATTTCTAGCAGACTAGCTGGTATTCAAATCCTCTCTACATAGAACTTTTATTATATTCATGAGACCACATTGCCTCACTGTGAAGAGGACACTTTCTTATATACAAAGGTACATGGTTGGCACCCATTAACTGTACCATACTTTAAATAACCTGTCCATTTCTCTGGCCAGTGAAACACGATTCCCTTAGATTTGTGTGGGAATTAAATTTAGATTATGCACCTTTGAAAAACTAGCAAAACTTAAACTTAGAACAAAATAAAACCTGAATGATTCTAAATCTCTGTGGAGAAAATCACAGAGCTAGTCGCTTTCCCTACTTAGTTGGAATTACATGGTAATATTTATAGAGAAGTTAGTATGCTCGCAAAACTATCTACTAGGAGTCTAAATCATGATTCTTAATAGAATATGTTTAAAAATTTCAATACCTATCAGAACAACTCAAGGATTTCAAAACACGGAGAACCATTTATTAGAAAAAAATTTTGATTAGAAAAAAATAGGGATACTGAGAATTTCTTTCCTGTACCTGTGAGTTATATTATATCAAATACTCCTCTTTGCTTATATAATTATGAATTATGTGACAACACAACAAGAAGAAATATTCTCCATTTGAATACTGGCTACGAAACTCCAGAACTAGCTGGTTTAGAAAAGTTCTCTACACCTTGGGACAAAAGTTCTGAGTAGGTTGGTTTCCATTCACCCAAGTTAGTGTCTTTACATTAATGTGGAGTGGAAATCTTTAACTTGGAACCTGTAGACAACATATTGAGAACTCATAGACTGTCACAAGAAAATTTGGGGTTTTCCACCCAGTTAATTCACTCACACCTATCATTACTTCATATATAGTCAGGTATAGTTCAATTTGATAACCATTCTTGAAAGTGTTTAGCACACTTCATCTCAACATCCAGCAGCAAAATTTGTCTTGTTTCTAGTGTTTATTATCTCCTGTGATGATGGTACTAGAATAGTCATTTTCTATGGCATGGTAATGACTCACAAATAAATGATATTTTTTTAAATGAGTTTAGCAACATATCTGCCTTATGTTGTTGAGCTATGTTATGCTATGCTAAGTTGTGTTATGAGCAAATAGTTGCTCAGAGGGTGGAAAGACTTGCTGACAAATACATATGTTCCATATTAGGTTTTCAAATTACTGTTATATCTCTTTTATGCCTATACTAAAACAAATGTTTCAGGATAGTGTTGTATTTTCTAAACATTATTTTACATGTACACACATTGTTAAATTTTGAGGTTTTATAAAACAGTACTATTCAGTTTCAAACCTTTAACAACATGCTTTATTTCGCTTAGTATTATGTTTCTAAGATTTGTGTAGGTGGTTGCATGTAACTATTGCTATGGTTAAGCTCTGTTAACTTGTTTGGCTTGGTAGCCAACTAGGGGATTAGTACATTATACTTCTGGGTGTGTCTGAGTGGGTCATGGATGCATTACTTTGGGTAGGTGGTATATCTGGTCCTGGATCCTTTGGTGTTCCCCTGTTTTGCTTACTCCCTCCCATAAATTAAGCAACTTTGTTCAACCATGGTATATCTGCCTTAAAGCCAGCCAACCAGGAACTTAATATTTTGAAACCTCAAGCCAATTAGAACTAAAAGTTGTGAATATGGAATATTGTACCCCAGTGATAGAAAAGCTGAGTAATACAACCATTATTCATTAATTTTCACTACTCTGTTTAATATTCTATTGCAAGAATATTCTGCAATTTAATTTTTCCTTCTTCTGCTGAGATCCACCCTTTATCTTTGCTACTAAGCATGATGCTTCGGGAGTATTCTGACAGATATCTATTTGTTACATTTGCAAATAATTTTCCAGATTATATACTTAGAAATGAAATTACTGGATCAAATGGTATGCATTTATAAAAATTTGAACTATAATGACAAATTGCTTTCCAAAGCAGGTATAACAATGAACACATTCACCAGCTGCACATAAGCATTCCAAATGTGCCACATCCTTGCCAATGCTTGGGATTTTTAAGACTATTTAATTTTTTTCTTTCTGTGGTAAAAATGACTTCTTCTGCAGAATTCTTTATCATAGAATTTGCCAATTTTTTCAAGTGTGTAATTTTTTTGGTTCTATAGAGTTTTGGCCCTAAGCTGCTGAATATTGGTGTTGAGACCATTTTCTCCTGGTTGCTGGCCTGTCCCACATTCTTGTGCTTATCACTGCATGGTGCTGAGTGGCCTTGTGTTCATTGTGATTATTGGTCTTACCCGTCGCCATCTTCTTTTCTTCCTCCTCCTCCTCCATCTTCTTCTTTGTATCTCAAGGCCATGGCTTTTATTAGATACTTGATCATTAAGAGCCAGCCTCAGTCTATCTACTGTCCTAGGGATCCCACCACCAGCTTCATAGCAGTTAATGTGATGGGCTCATCTCTTATTACCTCTTCCTCTGGTCCTTGTTCTCGATAGGTTTTGCTAACCATCCTGGTCTCAAGCAGTCCAGATACTGTCTCTACTTTTCCCTGGCTTCTGAGCTATACTAAATAGGGTGCCCAGCACTGTAAGAGAAGTGGATGACTGCTTCATGGTTTTGAAACAGAATAAATTCTACCATAATTATTCCTTGGAACACTGTTCATCTGAGAATGAACGGAGCATTTTTCAGAACTTCTTAAAGTGATGATCTTTGAAAATAAAGACAACAGTCCTCCCAGAAAACAACACAGTTGAACATCATAAGCAAAAGCTGCCTCAGAGTAAACTGCTGCCTTCCTAGGAAAAAATGTGCTTTTCAGCACTTTTACATCATTTAGCTCCTTACTGCCTCATTGCTTGCGAGTTACATTTCAGCTTGCGTCATTTGTCCTTGGTTTTGTACAAACTTACACTGCTGCTTAAATATCCTTTGCATCAGTTCACTTCTGGATTTTCTCTTAGTGTTTGGCTGAATTGTTTGAGTTTGTCTCACCTCTTACACATTACTTGAGGGGAATACTACAGGCAGTTAAACAAATAAATTCTTCTAGATAGTAATGAAAATGCACTAAAATATTCATCAGCCTTAGTTCGGGAGGTTTCAAAAATCTTACTACACCATGAATAAAATAAAACCAGTTAGATCTAGGACTAAACAAGTGCTACTTTTTCATAAGACCGTGCCAAAACCAACAAATCTACACGCATGCTTCCCACCTGCCTGCATTTCTCGAATCCCCTGTGTTTCCTTCTTTTGTCCCTTTGATGACAAACACAGTGTTATCTGCCACGTCATTCCTGTAAGTAGAGACCTTTGTAAGTTTTCCATCTCACAGTGTGACCATTCCACCACAGACTTCAGGTGACACGGAGCTGCCAGGTCATTCTGCCTATCTATCACTGACAACCTGTCTGCTCTGGATTCCTCTTTTGGAGGTGACATGTGAGTAGGTCAAAGAGAGTAGGTGGGTAATAGAATTGAAGAGCTGCTGTTCTCTGGACATAGCAAGAGAAGAGACCTGAGCAGAGGAGGCTGGCAGAGGGGTTCACTCATCCCTGAGAAAAGAGCAGGTGAGTCTGGTGTTGCTGTTTCCCAAGACCCATCCCACTCTCCTGAGAGAATCCCTGTCAGAATGTGATCTGCGAGTCTATGAACCATTAACATTTTGGCAAAAGGATGAGTTCTAGAAGTAGGTCTGAGCATGATGACTGGCTCTCCATTATAGTCTCTACTGCAAGCAGGGAGGGAGAGGGTGGGGAAGAGAAGGGAGGGATGATAGGGGAGGGGAGGAGGGAGGAAAAGATGGGGATGGCAAGAGAGGAGGGGGAGGGATATGAAGAAAGCAAAGGTAACAGAAGGAGAAGAAAGGAGGGAGGAAGCAGGGAAGAGGGGAGATAGAGAAACAAAAAAAGAACAAGTCCCTTATCACAAATGAAAGCCGATGCCTGGAATTGCAATTAGAGCTTAATCCCTTTAGTTTGAGATCCTGACTTTTTTAAGAATGAAATGTCACAGGTTGGGTGAATAATTAAATAATTCTTCCCTTCCTGGTCATGTCATTTGCACTTTAATGCAGCAGAAGAATCAGAAAGAGGGTTTTGGTGGAGGCTAGAGACAAAGCTGGGTCACTGGCGGTGAAAAGTGAAAGGAGGATGAGCAAAAAGAAGGGGCAGGCCAGGCACTCCAAAAGCCACCCCCTCCCCCGCACTGCTCCTTTGAATCTCCTTCAGGCTGGCTGGCTGTGCAGGACAGAACCTGTCTGCAGTGTTCCACCTCGTAACTGCTTTGCTGCTCCTGTCCTCATGCCTCCCTTCTCTTACACACCTCACACAACAACTGCTACGCCCAGAGCAGGCTGGAGCTGAGAGCAGTGCAGCAGGGGCTTTGGAAACAACAGACCTGGACCTGAGTGTAAGTGCTGTCATTTACGGGTTACAATGTAAGTGTCATTATTTTATTAAATACTTGCCAGTATAGCAGGTGACAAAGCATGTGCCATTGTTTTAACTGGATCTCTTTGATTTCTAAATATAAAAAAGCATTTGAAAATGATAGCTTGTAATTGTGCTTTGTCCTTAAGGCCTTGGTTTGCCCATAGGTTTAGTGGCTGATAGTTGGGATTATCTTAAGAGGAGTTGGAGGAACTGGGGCAGGTACAGGGCTCCACCCATGCCTGGAGTCAGAAAGATCCTGCAAACATTAGGGGTTCTTTGTATAATGCTGATTTTTTTTTTTTTTAAGAAAGCCACTGAATGGGAATGGACTTCATTTTTTCAGTTATCAGACTAGATATTGCCCTCACACCTGACTTTGCTCTGTGTCACTAACTTACCACAAACCTGGACACATCTTTTTCTCTCCATGTCCATGGGCCTCCTCTGGTTTCTCATATAGGGCGTGATTTTGCTATATAGTCCCCAAGGTCTAAAAAGTTTCACAATAGGATAAAAGTATGAATACTGCTTCCATGTAAAAACATAAAGTACAGACACATGGTAGAACATAAACTCCACAAGGGTAGGGACTTCTACCTCATTAATATATCCGTAAGAACCTCAGTGTATGGTGCAGAGTAGATGTTAAAAAATATTTGTTGAGTGGAAAAAACTATTAATTTGTGTATAAAAAGATGCATTTCATGAAGCAAAGTGTCTAAACATCACTTTTTAAGGGCTACTTCTAACAATAAGCTAAATTTTGTGAAAACAATGACATATGATATGCCACCTGTTAAACTGGCATATGTTTAAAAAATAACAATATTCACAGCATCTATAAATGATGCCTAAATTGTCACTTTTATCCTATAATAGACAGTCTTCATGAAATTCAGTGTGGCACTGAATTTATCAAAAGCTTGTTTATCAAAAAACTTAACAATATGCACATACTTTGACCCAGCACCCTTGGTCTCTATACTGAGAAATGTATTTTAAGGGTCGAAGGCATAGATTTAGCTATAAGAATGCTATTTATACTTGCAAAATTCTGAAACAACCAAAATGTTCAACTCTGTGCAACTGGGCAAATAAAAAATGATAGTCTTTTAATGAAGTACCAGTTAGCAATTAAACACACCGCAAATGCATAAAAATTTTAAAGAATAATCACAACAAATGTAGTAAGAAAGACATTTTATTAGACAACATGGATAATGTGATTCCACAAAAATCCATATTACATCTATGGAAAAGGTTCCCATGGCATATACACTACAAAATTAACCTTGACTGTATCTGAGTAATGGAGTTATAGGTTTCTATTTTTTCTCATTTGTGCAATTTTTTCTTTCCTTACAATGGCTATAAAGTGTTTCAATAATGAAATAATAAATCATTTTAATTTTAAAAATTTACCTTTTAGCTTCAACACATGCAGACTTGCAGGAGGGCTTCTCTTTCTTTTTTTCTCTTTTTTTCAGTTTTTTTTTTCCAGTACCAGGAATCAAACTCATGACCTTGCGCTTGCCAGGCAGGAGCTATGCCGCTGAGCTAAATCCCCAGCCCCTAGGTCATCTCTTTTGGTGGTATCTGTGCTGTTTTCTTTTCTCACCTAGGCTTTCCGGTCTTGTCATTAGCGTGGCTAAATTAATCAGATTTTAAGCTCCTTAAGGGCAGGGTTTATATCGCTTCCTTATTCTTTAAAGTAACTTGCACCCCTTCTGGCTGCTTAATAAAAATTCACTGCCCTGAATTCAGTCAAGTGCAATTTCAATTTCTGCTCTCATTAAATGTCCCCTATAAATCAATTTAAACAGCTCTAGTAATAAGAGTATCCCCCAAGGTTTCCTTTTTTCCTCTTTGTTGTAAGTCAATTCCTCACAGTGCCTGACACTAGGGGAGAAGATCCTAGTTCAGTTGCAGCACATGTGAGACGCAGAGAGACATTTATTTTGTGTTGCTTCAGGGTGGCTGAGCTAAGTAACAGGAAAGAGAATTCAGTTCATCGAAGAAGAACTTCTAATTATTAAAGATGGGTATCAAGAGGAGATGGTTGTATAACAGGTTTATAAACCTCCTTTCACTAAGATCACTTAAGCTGAAAATAGAAAACAGCAGTGCGGTAACAATACTAGTCAGAAGTTTGATTGGGCGGCCTTTGATCATTTTACAAATCTGAATATGCCTTATTTGTTTTAGGCCTCGTCTGTAAGAAATCAAAGGAGGCCAGGAGGAAAGTAAAATGCGCAGATGGATTTTGGTGGCTCAATGCTGTACAGAACCTGCCCCCGAATTCCAGACCCAGGAACTCCTTCCAAAGTACCATGCTAAGCATTCTGGTAAGCACTTGATGCAAAATTATTTTGTCTCATACTCCCAAAACAACCCAGTGAGGTAAATTTGTATAGATAAGAAGAAAACTGAGACAAATAAAATTTCAATAATGCCCCTAAACCATGCAGCTAATGCAACCAAACAGCATTTAATCCCAGGTGGGTCTGACTTCAAAATACTGAATATAGTAATAGGCCACATGGCCAGTGAAATGCTGTCAGGGTTTTCACCAATAGTAAGCAGCGTTTTTAGAAGCTGACCTATGGACCACACCTAGACCAACTTCTCTGTTCTGTCCCAATCTGTTCCTGCGCCCTCAGAACCCAGCCAGCATGGATGCTCCTTTTTTGCTGCATTGACGCTCTGCACCTCCCATGAGCACTGGTTGCCAAGTCACTCTGTCTCTTTTAATGCCAGCCATGAGAAGCATGCACAATTATACTAAGCAAAGTGTCTCTCTGAGAAGCACTTGAAGATCAGGCTCACAGACTATTGAAAAGTGTGATGATTAACTTTATGTATCAGTTTGATTTGGCTTAGTGATTCCTAGGTAGCTGATAAAACATTTATGCATGTGTCTGTAAGGAGGTTCTGGAAGACAGAAGCATCTGGAAGAGAGTGAAATTCTGTCTGTCTGTCTCCTTCTGAGATACAATGTTCATCTTCTCATTCTTGCTCTTGGAGCTTGGATCGTGTTTTGAACTGAAGTAGCCCTGATTCTCAGGTTTTTTGACTCAGAATGAATTCTGCATTATACTACTGGCTTTCTTCATCTTGAAGTTTGAACAGGGCATATTTGAAGGCTTCTTGGACTTCATAATTTTGTAAGGCAGTTTCCATAATAAATCTCTTATAATCTCAATATGTTTTCTTGATTTTGTTTCCCTGAAGAATACTGACCAATATGCCTTTGTCCCTTCTCCCTGCACACCTCAGACAAAACTGACCTTCAGCTGCACATTCTTCAGCAAAAAGCCCCTCTATGTAGTTGAAGTCAAATCAGTATTCCCTGAGGTGGTAGCTCTCCACACAGTGTACACTATGGTGGTTCATTTCCTTTTGATAAGAAAGAATCCATTTCTGGTCCACGTAATTCTTGTGTCTACTTCCCAGCTAAACACATCATGTCCATACCTTACCTTCCCACTTTCACAAGTGCATGGTGGATCACACTACTGGCTGGAAGCATTCTCAGTGTTCGGCTGTGTTGTGCTACGTGTTCATCTGATCACACGTTCTTCAGTGGGACCATCTGGCTTTTTTCTGCCATGAACTTGTGCCCTTTCCTTCAGTATGTATGCAGTCCCAGAATCCTGAGCCACAACTTGGAAATATATGCTTGGTTTATCTACTGCAGCCAGAAGAGCCTGGGGCATATTTATTTCATAACTAAGGTGAGGAGGATAAACTTGTTTATAAATATTGATGGATACTGATGTCCTGTTGCTGAGTACTTTAAAAATAGACTGCATAACTACCCTCTAGGTTTCTTATTTTATAGAGATTTCATGAAATTAACTCAACAAATTCCCTTTACTCTTTCTTATACCTATACTGTAAACTCTAAAGGAGATAGTGTCCAAAGCAGGCCTTTAAGAAGCATGAAGACAGAAAAGTAACTTAAAGAATAATTCTAATTCAGTTTGGCCAGCACTTTATGGCATATAATGTGCAACTTTTCCTATTTTTATTTCCCAAACTGATTTGCAGTGTTGTTTCTCTGTGTTCTTTAAACCTGTTCAATTCCTATTGGCCCCTGGGATCAGCCATGTTATACGCAGTGATTTCTTGCACAACATCATAACATTAGTAAACTTTCTGTTGCTGTGGGAAAATATCTGAGAGTAACAGCTTAAAGGAGGAAAGGCTACACTTGTGGCAAGGTGGAAACATCCCAGTGGATGGGCTTGGGAGAAGGAAGCTGCTTTCCTCATGGCAGTCAGAAAGCATAGCAGCAAGAGAACCAGAGAGCATGTGTTTGAAGGCGTTCTTCTGCTACATTTGTTCTATTTGGTTCCTACCCTATTGGATGGTGCTGCTCACATTCAGGGTAGGTGTCTCCTGTTAGTTTGCTGTTCCACATGCCAGTAGTCTCTGGAAACATCCACAGACACACTGAGAAAAGTGGCTTACTAATTGTTTCTCAATCTGACCACATTGACAGTCAAGATTAACCATCATATCGTGTTCACATACATGTGCAAAATATGCTTTATCTCTGTTGATTTCAGGTATCTTGGTTTTGTGTAAAGGGAAGTGGCTGTTATGTATCTCTTCTTCTGAATACCAGTAGCTGATGTTGCATGAGGCCACTTTCTCTTTACTTGTTTATCGTTTTCTCCCCCCAGGCTACACTAGAATGTAACTTCAATGCAAGGACGTTGAATGTTTAACTCGCTACTCAAACTTACTACTCAGAGGTGCAAAATATCATGAAAAAGTCATGTTTATCAAAACAGAAGAATAGTTGCCTTTCAATGAAAACCTGTATAAATATAATCCAATGAAAGAAGAAAAGAGAAAAAAACTTATTAGGTACATTATCTCATTAGATGCAGAAGTAAAATATAACATTCACTCATGATAGAAGATTTAAATCCTGCAAAGCAGAAGACAGGAATCTTCTTAATCTGTCATAGGAAACCTAAAAAAAAAAAAAGTGAAAAATGTAAAACTTTACCTAAAGACAATTAATGGAACACAAATAAACACCAAGGTTTATTAGTTTTTTATAAACAGAAAGGGATTTAGTATTGTTAACCTGTCAATTGCTTTCAATTGGTGTCTAAATTCAATGTAATTGCAGCCAAAATCCCGGCAAAGATTTTCAAGCTTCAATAGCAGGATCTAAAGTTTATAAGGAAGAGCAAAGGCACCAATACCAGCAAAGGCTCTCTATAAGAAAGAAAACAGTAAAGAAATTTGACTTTACACATACCAAAACTATATATAAGGCTATGGCAATTAAGATAGTGAGGTATTTATGCAGGGAAAAGAGAACAACATACATCAGGAAACAGTACAGATACGGTGTTGAGCTAAACGGGAAATAGGAAACATCCTATCAGTGATCCTGAGAAAATTGATTGTTCATAAGAAAACAAAACAAAACCAGAAAAAAAAATTCATCACCATGTACATAGAGTTAAATTCCAGGATTAAATATCTATATTTGAAAAGCAGAATATTAAAAGTGTAAAATATAGAAGTATTTTTATATGGAGATAGATAATTCTTAAAACATAAAGAACAGATTTCATAAAAAGACTGATAAATTCAACTTTATTAAGTATAAGAACTTCTAGGCTGAGGGCACAGCTCAGCGGCACAAGTGCCTACATGCCAAGTGCAAGGTCCTGAGTTTGATTCCCAGTACCAAAAAAAAGAAAGAAAGAAAGAAAGAAATGTAAGTTTAAGAACTTCTTTTCAGATACACTTACCATCAAATTAGTATTCAAAGCATATAATTTCTAAAAATTAGTTAAAATATGTAAAACAATTTATAAAATTGAAGGATATAAAGAGGATTTTTATGATCCCAAGTTTATTTATTTTTTATTAGTACATGCTGGCAGTACATAATGTTTACATTCCTCATTTGGTGCTGGTACATGTGCATAACACATCTTAATTCTTTTTTCCTTTCCTTTTCCTCTCCTTCCTTTCCTCCCTCCCCCCATCTCTTGATCTCTTCCTATTCCAGAGACATATATTGTCATTTTTTTATTATCTGTATTTTATTTTGCTTTTTATTTATAATTTAGGTTTTTCATGTAAGAGAAGCCTATACAATATTCAAGCCTGTGTGTCTGATTAATTCCATTTAATGCTATGGTCTCAAGATGCATTCATTTACCCAAAAATGATTCTAGTTTATGGCAAAATGGTACTCCCCTATGTGTAAATATCACATTCTTTATCTATTCCTCTGTTGATGGACATATACGCTGCTTCTAAGATTTAGGTATTATGAATTTTTCTGCTATAAATATGGGTATACCTGTATCACTGTAATATGTCTTTAATTCATTCAGGAAGATACCTACAGGGGGAATATCTGAATCAAATCAAATTTCTATTTTTAGTTTTTTGAGCAATTTCCATGCTGATTTTCATAGTTGTTGTACTTGTTTACATCTCCAGCAACAATGTAGCAGGATTCCTTTTTCCTCATAGCCTTACCAATATTTGTTATTTGATTTCCTCATGATGGTCATTCTTTCTGGGGTAAGATAGAATCTCAGTGTTGGTTAATTTGCATTTCTCTAATGGCCAGTGATGGTGAGCATTTCTCCTGTGTTTTGGCCATTTGTATTTCTGAGAAGTGTCTATTTTTCTCACTTGCTCATTTTTTATTGAGTCTTTTATTGGGGATGTATTTTTCAGTTCCTCATACATTCTAGATATTAGTCTTCTGTTTGAGGAATAGCTGGCAATTTTTCCTCCCTAAAGAGGTATTTTGGAGCATAGAAACTCCAAATGTTTAGTAAGCTTATATAAGGATGCTCTATCTCACTTTCAGTTGAAGATATATAATAAAGTTCTTTTTAAAAATGTAATGTAATACCAGTTAGACTGACAAAAGATTAAAACTTTAACAATAAAATGTGAATGTCAGGCAAAAAGATCACTTATCCACTATTGACGGGAATTTAATTTGACCAAACTGCTTTAAATCCAATTTATCTGGATGTGATGGTGCACCCCTGTAATACCAGCACTCAGGAGGCTAAGGCAGGAGAACTGCTGCTTATTCAAGGCCAGCCTGAGCTACATAGTGAGTTCAAAGCCAGTGTGAACTGCATAGGAAGCCCCTACCTCAAAAAATAGAATCAAATAAATAAAAGGCAATATATAATTGTCTTGTAACATTAAAGGTCTGTCTTTCTCGTGTACTAAAGACTGTTAGTGATCCCCCTTGAACCCCTTGACCATATCTGGAGGATAGAGGTTAGGTGAACAAACCCATCAATGCTAATGCTTCCTATGCATCTGCCAGGACATGCTCAGGCTGAATTTGGGGCAGGATGGAAATCCCCCAACCCCAGAGCACTGAGGGGTAGAAAGTGGTTGATAAACAGCAAAGCTGTCTCGCTCCTTGGAGGAAGTAGGAACCTTGAGATAGGTTAAACAGTCCTTGAAGGTTCCCAGGGGAATTGGTTCCAGTTGTCCACAGCCCTAACCACTCATCGATCCACCATTTATTGGCATTCCTTCTTTCCCTGACCCCACCCCCATGCTGTTACTGAAATTCCTAGAATAACTTCCTAAATAAACTCATGCACCCAAATTTCTATCTTACGATCTGGATTTTTACAGAATCCAAGCTAAAACACTATCATCCAGAGAATCTACTCTTAAATAAACATCCTTAAGAAATTCTTGCAAGTCTGCACCAGGAGACAATTATGACATTATTTATAAAAGCAAGTGATTAGAAAAAGTCTATTAATAACTAAATGCCCACTAGTGAAAGAATGGATAAATTGTGATATAGTCCTGTAATGAAATACAGTACATAAGCAAAAGCTAGTGTTTTACAGACATATTAATTGACTTCAATAAATTTTAGAAACAGTGTTGAGTGGAATAAGGTGCTAAAAATACATACAGAAGTTTTATTAAATTCTAAAACAAAAAAATGAATGATATGCCAGCAAGCATTTGTAAATATATGTAATGAAATGTAAAGAAACATTTAGATAAGAATTATCTCGGTGATGGAAGTAGGGGCTGGTGTGAGAAAAGAGCGCATAAAACCTGCAGAGTGTTGGTTATGTTTCTGATGTGAAGTGGTAGGTTCACGTATTCTTGTTTTAGATCATGT